ACCTTCTAATCAGTATTATGATAACTCATCTGAGGAAGTCTTGCTGTGCACAAGTATTCAGTGAGAGATTACTGAGGTTAGAAAATACATGAGGTTGATTATGACTGTTGCAGAGTTTCAGCGGTTTTGCTTTTGAGATTTTGAGGTATATCATGGTGCTGGTATTGCTAGGAATGCTGTCCGTATTAGATTTTTGAGTTGTTTATTTAATGTATGATTTTGCTTAGTTTTCTAAATTTTTTATATTTCCTTCAATCAAGTCTTCAGAGTTGTTCTCAGGGAAACATAGATGTGACTTTTAACAACTAATGAAGAGATAGTGTTAACCGGTGACCAATGGTGACTTCACTTACCATGGTGAGCACTGAGTCATGTACAGGATTGTCGAATCACTGTGTGGTCCACCTGAAACTAATATTGTATCCTGGCTGTACTTCAGTACTAAAAATTAAAAAATAATGAAGAAAGTATTTGCTTAGTAGGAATCCCCTTCATAAGGAAAACTTTACATTAAAGGAGGGATTCTTGTACTTCAGAGAAGAACAATGTTTTAATTTTAAGACTCCCCTGATCTCCATAAATATACACTTTGTGTATCCATCCCTGTGGGTCTACAAAATGTTTTGCACACACGATGCAATAAATGTTTGCCCAAGTACATTGATCCGGTCTAAATAGGAACTGAACCTGAAATCCTCTCCTCGCGCGTGTGCACACACACCCTGGCTGAACAGCTGGGGTAACTGTTAGGTTTGGGTTCATGCATTCATTAGGATTAGGTTCAACTGTCCATAATAGAGACATCCAAAATAATAGTGTCCAAAAGGTCAAAATTTGTTTCTCACAGAAAATATGTCTAGACGTAGTAATCCAGGGCTGCTACAGCGACTCTGTGAAGTCCTTCAGGACGTCCGCTCCTTCTCCTTCTTTGCCTCATCAGCCTGGAAAGTGGCCCTTCTCTTCATGGACTAACATGGTGATTAGAGTGCAGCCATTACATTTATGTTTCCACAGTAGAAACAAACCGATAGTAGAAAGGCCAGAGAGCACAAACTATCACGTTCTTCTTTTTTCTTAACATCTTCATTTCCGTTCTCAAGGTCCTAATCAGAATGCATTGTCTCCTCTTCTCCACATTGCCCTGTTATCTGGCATAGCATCTTTATTTTTCTTTCCATGTAAATTCAGTGTGCTCCTTTTTAAATATTAGTTTGGCACTTTTCTCTCTTGTCCCACTTCCCCAGCTCTGGTCTGTACACAGGTCTCAAGTGGTTCCTGTCTACTTTCTGGTTGATGAGCTCTTGTATTTAGTGAGGTCTTAGTAACAAAGATCTAGTGTATATCTTGACCCAAAGTAAGTTTTTTTGGTTTACTGTTGGCTAAACTTCTAAGGCGATTTTCTAAGGAAATTAATGGACTTTGTAAAAAAATTGAGACTTATTTTAAATTTTATTTAATTCAGAGAATTTATTTGCAAGTTTTGAAATGCAAGAATCTTTAAAAAGAAAAGAAATATACTTTGCTAATAGTGATAAAACACTTAGCAATCATTTTATTTATTTTATTTATGTTTTTGAGAGAAAAAGAGTGCATGAGTGGGGGAGAGGGGCAGAGGAAGAGAGACAGAGTCTTAAGCAGGCTTCATGCTAAGCTTGGAGCCCAATGCGGGCCTCGAACTCATGATTGTGCAATCATGACCTGAGCTAAAATCAAGAATCTGATGCTTAACCCATTGAGCCACCCAGGTGCCTCGTTAGTAATCATTTTAAATCCAGAATCCATTCAGGTCTGTTTTTGCATAGTACTTTTTTATTCTTAAGCTATCACTTTGAATGAAAGGAAATAGACATTGGATATGTTCAACTCACCTTTCATTTCACAACTAGGTGTCAGTATTAACATACCTGATTCGGTGTCTCAGGTGTGATTATAATGAGCTCATTCAAATAATTACTCACCCATATAAGGTACAAGTCAGAAAATAAATGATAAAGAAAACAAAGAAAAATTAAGCTACTTTTCTTATTTCCAAGTGGACTGGTTAATTTTATATTTACATTTTTAAAAACAGAATTTTTCCCCCCACCTTAGTAACTATGCACAATTAAACTTTCTGATTTATTTGGTTAGGAAAGGCAGGTAGAGCATGAACTTGTGCCTTTTCACTACTACCAACCAGAGGTTTTTCCTACAACTTCTCCAGAAAGAGTGATCAGAAAAAGAAGGAAAATTATTGCTATTCACATAGGGTGTGTGTGTGTGTGTGTGTGTGTGTGTGTGTGTGTGTGTGTGAGAGAGAGAGAGAGAGGGAGAGAGAGATTCTTACCTACTTGAGACATATTTGAGAGCAGGACTTATGCATGTATTGTCAGTGACATTTCTTACATTTCCCTAGAAATCTCTCCTGGTATAACTAAATCTACCTTTTTCAATTCAGTCCTCATGTAAATAGTACGATACCTCTTGTCTTTCCTTGTACATCTGATCTGACAATATTTTCACAGCATTTATACTGCATTTCTCTAACTAGAGTGTCTCACCTTTTATACCCATGTTTCCTGTTGATACGTACACAGTCCAGTGTAATAACTGAAATATCATGAATAAAATCCAGATAAAGCAATAGACCAAAGTGCTGAAAACACATCCGATGCTCCATCCCACTAGAAGATCCTGATGGGTTCCCTTTCCCCAATTCTCTTTTCAAGAATCCCTGCTCCTGCATGATTTAAGTAATAGATCTAGCTCACTTGTACAAAACTCACTAAGTGAATTATATTCACTTAGATACTGTTAGTTAAACATTTTCAAAATATGTGTATGTGGCTTGACAAAGATTTTTGGATTTTTCAAGTATATAGTAGAAAATATTAGTCAACTTGTCTTTGGATCTCAAGTCCAGATTTTGACAGAATTGACAGGTTTGCTTTTTTAAATTGTTATTTATAGGTCTAAATGTTTCCTTAGAAACATGTCTATACCCCAGAACAATTCTGTTTTGAAAAAGCAAGTTGAATTACTGTCAGCAATATCTTGGTACATCCATTTCTCATCATGGAAGTAACTTTTTAGGTCATGCAGTGGATCCTAATTTTACAACAATCCACAGTAATGTGTAAACAGTGCATTTGCTTATTGACTTTTAAAATCTCTTGTTTTCTGAGAATTTTCGGTTCATCAGTTCTTAGCCACATAAAACATTTATTTGGCAGTTACTTTTTGTAATTTTTTGTGTCTTTCGGGCACATGATGCAAGAACATAAAATTAATTATTGATTGTGGTACAGATTCAGCACATCACTGTAGATTGTCAGTCAGCCTGAAAAAAGAGAAAAGTCATATTAATCAACTCCAGGCAATCCCAGTTTGCTGCATATATTGTGGAAATGCAAGCAGGCTACATCATGCTCATAAGATATCTTATTCAGCAGAACAGTAAAATAGTTCAATAAAGTTGATTTAATTCTGAGCTCTCTTACAGTGCTTAGTAGTAACTTAGTTCTTGACCTGAATTATAACAGGTCTGTGATTTTGCAAAATGATCCTTATATACTAATTTTCTTGTTTGTTTAAAAGCCTTCTTGATTTGTGTTTCAGGATTTCTCTGATGCCCTTGACAAAGATATTATGTACAACTTTATATCAAGGCAAGGGACTAGTTACTGCTTTTAAACTCGGTTAGAGTCAGCTATATGATATTACTCACCGGACCTCAGAGTTTCCAGTTATCTATACCTAGGAGATAGCTGGTCCTGGCCGAGTGTCTTCAGCAAATATGTACTTAAAGACATTTACGCCCTTGTTTTGTGTCTGGCATCTTCACTTTTAGGCCTCAGTGAATGGCTGTGATTATTTTCTGAGTGTGTGTGAGCCTTCCTCTTTACTCCATCTTCTGTGATCCGGGTTTTATTTCTGGTGCCTGCTGCATGAGCCCTAACTTCTCACCACTAAATTTTCTTTTCATTTTTTGATATTTGGTCTACCTGTGCTAACTATTAACAGCAAATGGTTATTAAAGAAATAGCTGTTTGGAGGTATTATGCAATTTTGTAATATTTTTTCTTATGGTATTTCTCAGAAGTCTCAAATACTATTATTTTTAAAACTTCACATTTTCTCCTGATTTCGGTCAGTATATATACATGATTAGTTTTGTATGTGTTTGAGTAAAGAGTACAAGGGGGTGGTAATTGCAAAGTCTGACAGCAGGTATGTGTGTTTACATAGCCTCATTGTTGACTGCCAGTGAAGGGCTATAGCAGAACTCTGAATCTGATAGCATTCTGAAAATTCTTCTGATTATTTTTTTAGCAGCAAGATAGAAGGGCAGTGAAGGCCCTTGGAATTATTTCCCTTGCTCTTTTTACATTCTGTCCTAGGCTGTCAAGATTTTTTTTTTTTTAGTCTATGTGTTTTATACATTTGGACACCACTTAACTGTTGATTTCATTTCAAAACTTGCCTATGCCTTAAACAGGTGAATTTTTTTGGAATGTAAATTATATCTCAATAATATTATTGTTAAAGAAATCCCCCAAATTTAACTAAAAGCATTTGTAGTGATATTGGGAAGCAGCTTTATATTAACATTAGAAGGTGAAGAGCAAATGGTAGCTAATTTATTTATATAAACTTCCACGTGATACAGTTTTTAAGAATATACTTAACTATCCTATTTTTGGTTTGTTTGAACTTACTAGAACTTTCTATTTAACTTGTAAGTGTGTATCTTAATGGAGTGAGGAAGGCAAAGGTCAGAAATACTGACTAAAACATTTAATTCTCATTTTTAGCTTCAGAATGCTGTTTAGAGTAATGAGCCAGAAGTATGCACGTCTTTCCCTTCGTGCCCGACTCCCGCAGCCTGGTCAGCCACGGAAATCTGAGCTCTGGCTAGTGAGGAAACGTGCTGCACAATTCTGCTACTTTGACTTCTCTGTAAAGTGAACACGTTGATACTGAGGACTTTGCATTTTAAGATATTCCATTTATCATTACAGAAAGCTGTATTCCTGCACAAGTGGTGGCTGCCATTGACGTAAACACTGTCGCTAATGAAGTGTACGCGTACAATTTTCCTCACACTCAGTTACTGGCCAAGACAATTGAAGTGAGTAATCATGCTTATTGCTTTGATAAGTAGATGGCGAGGAAAACGTGATTGAAAACCACTGTATGATACTGATCGATGGTGTGTTAATTGGAGAATAAGTTATATACGAATGAGAAGTTTAGGAGAAGGGCATCGACATTTTCTGTTCTGTGGGAAGATGGCATGCTCTATTTTGCCTTTATTTTTTTTTAATTTTCAGTTTAAGAGAGTGAGAGTGAGAGAGTTCAGTATTTTGGTTTCTGAGACAAGGGAATGAAACGTAAGAATATGTTTGACTCCTAAATTCATGGTTCTCTAATGGCATTAAACTTTGATTAATTCTTTACTTTCAAGCAATAGTCACATACTATAATATGTATATATATATATATATATATAGAGAGAGAGAGAGAGAGAGAGAGAGAGAGAGAGGCAGTCATTGGCTATTATTTATTGAATGCTTCTTATTTTAGCAAGCCTGTCAGAATTAAAGGTTAAAAGTACACGTGATGAACTCAGCAGAGGTATTTAACACTGTTTTTAAATAGTGTTAGTAAATAATAGTTATTTTAAAAATAATATGAAATTGTTTTTTTCTCTCATTTTCTTGTTGTGACGACTTTTACAATGAATTTCTCATGAAGCCATAATTTATACACAATAAACTGCACTCATTTAAGGTGTGTAGTTTGAGTTTTGACCAGTACATACAAGTGCGTAACCACCACAATCAGGACTTAGAACGCCCATCCCCTACAGTGTTCCTTGGTGCCCCAACCCCGGGAAACTACTGATCTTTCTGTCATTACGGATTAAATTTTCCATTTCTAATACATCACAAATAAAATCATGAGGGTGAGTTTTTTTTGGGTGTAACTTTTCTGTGTAACATAATGTTTTTTGAATTCACCCATGTTGTTGTGCATATCGGTAGTCTGCTCTTTGTTATTGCTGAGTCATATTCTGTACAGTGGAATATTTTACACTACAGTGTATGTATCCATTCACATGATGTTAGACATCTAGGTTGTTTCCAGTTTTCGACCATTACAAAAAAGTTGCTATGAACATTCATGTCCAAGTTTTTGTGTGAACCTTTGTTTTCATTTCTTATAGACGAATACCCAGAACTGGAATTTCTGGGTCATATAGTAGGTTTCTTTAATTTTATGAGAAAATGCTAACTGCTTTCTCTAGTGCTTATACCATCTTACAGTCTCATAACCACGTACATGTTTCAGTTGTTTCACATCCTTACAGCACTTGATATTGTCATTTTTTAATGTTTATTTATTTTTGAGAGAGAGACACACAGATAGAGCAGGGGAAGGGCAGAGAGAGAGGGAGACACAGCATCTGAAACAGGCTTCAGGCTCTGAGCTGTCAGCACAGAGCCCGATGCGGGGCTCAAACTCAAACCACGAGATCAGGGTCAGAGCCTAAGTTGGACACTTAACAGACTGAGCCACCAAAGTGTCCCTGATATTGTCAGTTTTTAAAATTGTAGCCATTCTAGTGAGCATATAGAGGTATTGTGATTCTTTCGTGTGTGCTGATTCTAATTTGCATTTCCCTGCTGGCTAATAATGTTGAGCATCGTTTCATGTACTTCTCGGCTATTTCTGTGTTTTCTTTGGTGATGAAATTTCTTGCCCAATTTTTGTTACTTGGTGTGTTTGTAATATCATCATTTAGTTGAAAGGCTTATTAAGTTTTCTGGATTCAAGTTGTTTGTCAGAATATATATAACAAAGATTTCTTCCAGTTCTGTAACTTGTCTTTTCATTTCCTTAACTGTGTTCATCAAACTGCACATGTTATTTATCTTTTTTTTGTTTTTGGGTCACGTTTTTATGTGTTCTAAAAAAAAAAATCTTTGTTCACCCTATTTTTCCCTCTTCTAGAAATTTTATGGTTTTGGCTTTTCTATTTAGATTTCTGACTCATTTAGAGTTACTTTTTGTGTGCAATTTGAAGTAGCAGTCATTTATTTTTTTCCAAGTGCATAAAACATTGTCCTGGCACCATTTCTGAAATGATTATCCTTTCCTCAATTTCCTTGACACCTTTATTAAAAAACTAAGTCATAAATGTGTGAGTCTATTTCCAGACTCTCTTCAGTAGTATCTGTATGTTTTTCCTTACACCAATAGCACACTCTTGTGATTATTATAGCTTTATAATATGTATTGAATTCAGGTAGTGTAAGTTCTCGAATCTCTGTTTTTCTTTTCCAACATTATTTTGGTTACACTGCCATTTACATTTGTGTGTAAGTTTCAGAATCACCCTGCGAATTTCTATGAGTAAAAAAAAAAAAAAAAGACATTTTTATTGGAATTGCACTGATTGGTTTTGGAAGAACTGATATCTTAATAAAATTGAGTCTTTCAGTCCATGAATATGTTATCTCTCTTCATTTATTTAGATGTTCTTTAATTTATATCAGCAATATTTTATACTATTTAGTGTACAAGTCTTACACACATTTTAGTTAATTAATCCCTAAATACCTGTGGGTTTTGATGCTCTTGTAAGTGGTGTTTGTTAAAAAATATATTTTGAATTGTTTATTGCTAGCATATAAGAATACACATAATTGTGTTTCTTACCTTCACCTTGTATCTTGTGACTTTGTTATATTAATTTATTCTGATAGCTTTGATTTTTTAGGATTTTTCCACATACCCACAAATACTATCTGAGAATAAAGAGTTTTGCTTTCCCCTCCAATCGGTGTTACTTTTTTCTTATTGCATTGTATAGGATCTTCTGTACAGTATTGATTAAATAGGATTGCCTTGGGTATCCTTGCCTTCTTCTAGATTCTAGGGGCAGAACCTTCAGTCATTCACCATTTAGTATGATGTTAGTTGTAGATTTTTTATAGATGCATTTTATTAAGTTTCTTTTTATTACATTTTCTGAGAATTTTTATGAGGAATGGATTTTTAGTTTTTCAAATGCTATCTTTCTTGCATCTTTTGGCATGATTATAGCATTCTCCCCTTTTATTCTGGTAATACAGTGATTATATCAATAACTTTTTTTGAATATTAACTCAGTATTGCATTCCTGGGATAAATCCTACCTGGTCATGATCTACTATCTTTTTTATGTAATAAAAATTTGTTTGTTTTCAATTTGTTAATATTTTGTTAGATATTTTTACATTCTCCTCGGCTTTTTAGTATGGTTTTAGTATTAGGGTCATATTAGCCTTATACTTTTTGGAAGAGTTTGAAAAACAAGTATTAGTTCCTCTATAAATGTTTGATAGAATTTAGTTAATGGAGCTATGTGGGCCTAGAGTTTTCTTTGTGGGAAGATTTTAAACTATGAATTTAATTTCTTTAATTGTTACAATACCAGTAAAGCTTTCTATTTATTTTTTTGTTTAGTTTTAGAAATTTGTGATCTTTGAAGAAATTATCCATTTTATCTAATTTGTCAAATGTATTGGCTTGACATTTTTCATATTTCCTTATATCCTTTTTCTTTTTTTTTTTTTTCCAACGTTTATTTATTTTTGGGACAGAGAGAGACAGAGCATGAACGGGGGAGGGGCAGAGAGAGAGGGAGACACAGAATCGGAAACAGGCTCCAGGCTCTGAGCCATCAGCCCAGAGCCCGACGCAGGGCTCGAACTCACGGACCACGAGATCATGACCTGGCTGAAGTCGGACGCTTAACCGACTGCGCCACCCAGGCGCCCCTCCTTATATCCTTTTTCTACATGTGAACTCTATAGTGATGTACCGTATGTCATTCCTAATGTTAGTTATTTGTATCTTTTCTTTTTTTTTCCCTCTGCTAATGAAGCTGGAGGTTTACCAATTTTATTGGTCTTTTTAAGTAACCAGCTGTGGATGCAATTGATTTTATCTATTATTCATTTGTTTACTATTTCACTAATTTCTGTTTTTCTTTATTATTTCTTTCTACTTACTTTGCATTGAAATTTTTAATACTTCTTACAGTGGGACTTAGATGATTGACTTGAGATTGTTTTCCTTTTTTTGTATAAACATTTAGTGTAAATTTTCCTAAGTTTTGACTACATTTCACAAACTGTCATATGTTGTGTGTTCATTTTCATACAGTTCAAAATATTATCCAATTTGCCTTCTGATTTCTTCTTTGGCCCCTGCATTATGTATAAGTATGGGTTTAACTTTCCAAATATTCATGATATTTCCAGATAGCTTTCTGTTATTGATTTCTCATTTCTGTTTTATTTTGGTCATACTGTGTATGATTTCAGTTATTTTAAATTTGTTGTGACTTTGTTATAGGCCAGAATTCATTTTGTCTAGTGAATGCTCTATCTATATGCTATTGAAAAGAATGTATTATTTTCTTTTCTTTTTTTTTTTTTTAACTTTTTTTTTTAGTTTATTTATTTTGAGAGAGACAGAGAGCACAGCAGGGGAGGGGCAGAGAGAACGAGAGACAGAATCCCAAGCAAGCTCTGTGATGTAAACACAGAGCCTCATGTGGGGCTTGAACTCACAAACCTTGAGATCATGACCCGAGCTGAGATCAAGAGTCAGGCACTTAACTGACTGAGCCACCCAGGTGCCCCAAGAATGTATTCTTTTCTTGTTGGGTGGAATACTCAGTAAATGTCAGTTAGGTCAAGTTAGTTGTTAGTGTTCAATTTTTCTATATTATTACTGATTTTTTCTATCAGGTGCTGAGAAAGGGGTGTTGTAATCTCCAGTTACAGTCATAAATGTGTCTCTTTTTTCGGTGTTGTCATTTTTTGCTTCATTTTATCTTGAAGCTCTGTTATTAAGTGTACATACTTTATAATTTTTTTTTTGTGATTGACCCCTTTAGCATCATGAAATGTTCCTTTTTAACCCTAGGAAGTATTTCTTGTTCTGAAGTCTACTTTTCCTGATATTAATACAGCCACTTCTGCTTTCTTATGATTAATGTTTGCATGTTTATCTTTTTCCATCCTTTAAATTTTATCCTACTTATATCTTTGTATTTAAATTAGATTTGCTGTA